CACAACCACAAACACACAACCACAAACACACAACCACAAACACACAAACACGCAACCACAAACACAACCACAAACCCACAACCACAACCACAAGTACAAACACACAATCACAAAGACACAACCACAACCACAACCACAATTACAAACACATAATCACAAAGACACAACCACAACCACAACCACAACTACAAACACATAATCACAACCACTACCACCAGCACAAACACAACCACAAACACATCCACAAACACACAACCACAAACACAACTACAAACACACAATCACAAAGACACAACCACAACCACAACTACAAACACACAATCACAAAGACACAACCGCAACCACAACCACAACTACAAACACACAATCACAACCAGTACCACAACCACAAACACAACCACAAACACACAACCACAAGCACAACCACAACCACAACACAGCACACAACCACAGCACACAACCCGAGGACCCACAAGCAACATCGAGAACTACAATACTAACGACATCTAACGACTATGGCAACATGCTCCTCACTATGGCATCAAGACAAATGATTGAAATGTCATGGTGGGGATCACTCGAAGCAAAGTAATTTTTCTGAAGAGAGCTTTCCGAAGAAAGCTATTTTTTCAAGCAACGAAAGGCTGAGGGGGTAATTTTTCTCAACACTTCAAACCACCGGTGACCACCAAATGGTTGGACCGCTAAGTGACTCGAAAGCTCCGTCCTGCCGACGTGCCCTGGCGCGAGGAGGCGGCGAAGCCGCCCTATCTTGGCAGCAGCTTTGGTGGCTATGGCGCCTACAATGGCGGCATGGGTGGTAGCCTGGGTGGCATGGGGGGCCAGGTTCCTGTGAGCCAGGTCCCTGTCAGCAATTCCTATGGCCAAAGCTCCTATGGCCAAAGCTCCTATGGCCAAGGCTCCTATGGCCAAAGCCCCTATGGCCAAAGCCCCTATGGCCAAAGCCCCTATGGCCAGGCCAACGGCTATGGCCAACCCTTAGCACACTCCGGAACCGCGGGGGGGGTTCACACAGCCTACCAACCGACTGAAACAGAGGCTTGGATGCAGACGCCGTTCTTCGTGCAATATGATTCCAGGAGTTGGATGGAGACAGACGGGAAGCATACTGCCACTACTTAGTTAATGGTTTCTATAGGCTATAGGGTTCAGTGTTCTCAGTGGATACGTCGCGGTACAATCACCTGCAGGATGGTTTTGGAGCATCAAGATCAGTGCTTCTTTTGAACCCCATCCCGGTAGCATCCTAGTCAGAACTAGAAGATCCCAACTAAGTACCATGTACGCACTTACATGCCTTCTGTGTGGTTCCGGTTCGTCAGACCCCCTCAGAGGATGTGTTGCAAACATATTTTTTGATGTTTGTTGTCCCCTTGGCTCGACCCCACACGAATGGGCAATCATTCGAAGGTTGTGAAGGTAGCATGCAAGGTTTATTCCGAGAATGCGCGGCAAAGATGGCATCCCCCAGAGGAAACTGAATAGAATAGAATAGAATGGAATTTAAGGACGAACACCTGACTGTGGCTGTAGGTTGTATGATATAGATTCGATTCTATAGTTGGTTAGAGGCCTTTTTGGCCAGGAGGCTCTTAGAGTAGAGGCAGTAGTAGAGGCCCATATTGAAAATGAGGGTTTCCTTCCGCCTCCGCGCCTCAGGAACTGCACATGCCTTTGAATGCCAACGTGGAGCTGGAGTCTGACGATGGCATCTTCATGAGTTCGAAGCCTTCCTCCCCACGACCCGAGGAGACGGCACGATCCGGCGGTTCATCTGGGGGGTTCTTGGGTTGATGGTGCTGAGGGGGTATGTGAGGGCTGTCAGAAGGCTAGATAGTATTGTAGACGAGAATGCTGTATAAGTATGAGAGATGACTATAGGATCTATAGGCCTGTAGGCTTTGGGCTTGTCAGAGGCAGATCATTTGCTGAAGAGAGACTTGTGATGCAACCTCCACCCTTCTAGTCATTTTAACCCTTCGTGCTACAGAACCCGTGGGCAGAACGTACTCAGCAGCGAGTTGGGTCAGTGAGGGGCTCGTGGATTGGGGGACTGCTGAGAGCGCAAGCGAAACAGACCGGTCATCCAACTCCGCCGTGCACATGCAGTCTTGGCTGGGTGTTCCTCTTGGCGCCTTCATGATGTTGAATCGATTCTTGAAGATTAATTCAGCAGTTCAATACATTTGTTAATTTTCCAGGAAATCGGAAAACCTCAGATACTGTATATAATATACAGATTAGGGGACCCTGAGACATGCACAGTTTTGGAGAGCAATCCTGATTCCAGACATTGCTTAGACTACCAACGCAGAACTACGACTACGACGACAACACCGTTCTGGGAATGGCAAACTATGTCTACAAGGGCAGCGCCAGAGAAACGAGAGGCCTCTTGGATTAGAGGGTTAGAACATGATTGAACCAGCACCCCACGATCGGTTGACATCCCTGGGATAGGAATCAGATTATTCTTGGTGTTCAAGTTCGGATCATGATTCTCACGCAGGCATTTGGGATTTGGATGGATTTGGCATCCTTGAATTTCTCAAGGTGCAACAGCAACCCCTGTCCTGGCTCCAAAGATGCTCAAAAGCGTTGCAGGCAGCATGAGCTGCAAGACACATCATCGCTTTGTTGAGGTGGGTCACATCGTTGCCATACAGACATTGAATTTTGTGACCCTTCAGCGGGGTAGGCCATGACTGAGAAAGGACATAAAAGTTCTCCTCTAAGCGCAGCCCAGGTTGCACGATGGTCGGGGCACTCAGCTGCACACGCATCCTGAGCGCGTAAGAGGAGACACTGTCACTAACTTGGTCAACTGAAGATGTGCTTGCCCGGATCGTGCCGGCGCTCTACGAATCTGCATGCACGCCCACTTGTCAGACCCAAAAGGATGCATGACTGTGCTTTGTTTTCTTTCTTTATTGGCCCATGCTATGGCTGCTGTGGAGGCTGGTGTAACTTTGAGTTCTCTGTGACTATGTGTGAGTGTGTGCAGGCTTTTGGTTTGGAATGATGAGTGTGAATGCCAATTGGATACGCCCAGGCTCTTCTTGTCTTCTCGACTGCTCTCATCTTCGTGGGCTTCGAATGAAGCAGCAGGTGCTCAGTCCCGGACGTGGCTCATGCAGCAGGAAACGGTCCAAGGGGTGGTTCCTTTCGCCACGGCTGGCCGCGTGTTCATTGTCCTTTGGTATGAGAAAGGTGGAAGAAGAAGCGTGTCATCAGACCAAGTGTTACTAGATCAACTCAATCCTTTTCCTTCAAAGGGGATGCAACCAAACTAATTAGGGAAGTAGGTCTAAGGTGGCCTAACTTCTTGTATAATCACCCGCGACTGAAACTGAAGTACGGCCACAAAAGTATAGAACAGTGACAAAAGGGTGTCAAGAGCTTCGTTGATCTTCAGGAGCCTGGCACCTCTAAAGCGAATGAAGGAAAAAAACAGGTCGTTGCAGCTGAAGAGTTCTGAGCCAGCCGAGGAGTTTGGAGCTGTGGGGGTTTGATGAGGTTTTGGCTTCAAGTCAATGAACTGTTGGGGTTTGATATCGGTTTTCTTGAGGGTCAAGGGTGCCCCACACGTGTGCCAGTGGCATGTTTCAAGCCATGGTTTTGTCTCGACCACGGTCCCCAGCCACTTGGTTTTATATACATGTTTCCTAGTGCCGGTGCCCATTTAACAATTTTGACATGTTTTGTGCATTTTTGTGCTATGTTTTGTGCTTGGGCCCATCATCTGAGATTGGAATGTTCAGTCATGTTGCAATGTTGTGGTTTCATGCACAGTCACAGTGAAATTCGAGCCGACAAGCTGTTGACAACTGAACATCCCACTTTGGGCACCACTCCCAGACACATTATAACTACTGTATCATATAACTAAATCTAATTCAGAAGTTTGTTGTCCTGGTGACCGCAGGAACTGAGACATCGTGTTACAACCACAGGACCTTTGAAAAGCAGCAGGAAATGCTTAAGCAGCTTGAGGGGAAGGGGTAGTCAGATGACTTGCTGCGAGATTGGGACCGTGGAGCAGTACAACCACAAACCGCTAAATTCCTGCGCCCTTTTGGATTCTGATTGCCCCATGTTTGGGTATGGCTGTCTGTTACGTTGCGCGCATCTCTTTCTGTTCAAAGAGGGAAGTGCTGTGCAAGCCCATGCCATGGTGGGAGGTAGATCCTGTGGTGGCTTTTCTTTTGACCTTAGCGTGCCTGCTGCTGGGCTACTGGGCTTTGGCTCCGGCTACCGCGACCACAACCATCGCCGTGACCGCAGCCGTCAGAGGTGTGGAGCCTCCATAGCTGTGTGAAGAGGTGAGCATGGTCAAACTCGAGTATATACATCCCTAGCACAGGAAGCAAACCAGTGGAAAGTGAGTGGGTGGAAGAGTGTATAGAGACCTTGCGGACGATCTGAAACTTGACATCGCACGCCAGGTGTGCCAGCGAGGATGTCGCTGCCGGCAGGCCGGAGAATCGGACGGGCGGCTGGGGCGGCTAGGGTGGCTTCCGACCGGTGAGGAGGGAGCGACTTCGGAGCCGGGTGTAGCGGGCCAAGGAGTCCCCCGAAGGAGTTCATCCACTCGAGATGGACTGAGCGAACATCGGACATGGACTGAATGATTGTTTGCCCGGAGATGGCCTCAGTGGCCACATCTTAAAGGGTTCTTTAGGCCAAGGAAACAGACTAGACGTGCGTTTGTTTTGTTTGTCCATGTCTTTTGGCCATGCTCACTTGCAGCGGTCATGGAAGGATTACGACTAAATGTGCTGCCATTGGGTTGTGAATTTCGTGAATGTTGCTTCATCTTATTTGACATCATTTTCCTTGTGCGGGGGGCTGGCGTTTTCGATCTTCTGCCTAGCCTATATACCATCACTGGGATTTGGAGCAGCCCCCAGGATCTAAAAGGAGCTAACATCACACTACTGTCACTACTTGTAAACAACATAGTTCTACAATGTTATACTATCAAGGAGCACCCAATCAGAATCACTTGTGGATCATCCCCCCCTTGAAACGCGGTCCTTGAGTGACTCGCTTGCTCGGTCGTTCCCGGTGGTGTCCGGGTCGTTTGGCGCTTGAAAGGCCTTTGAAGCCGAGGTAAAGTCCACTTCAAAGCCAGTCACGAGTGGCAAGAGGTGTTGCCGCACCACGTTCTACCGACCAACCTGGAGGCGCCGGTGGTGGAACTAGTCGCGCCGATGGAAGGCAGACCACGCTTTACACCGCTGTGTGTTGTTCGGAGTGGGGTGGATGTTAGGGTGGGATCAACAGATAAGCACACAGAGTGACAAGTTGACACTTGCATGCATTCTCATGCACTACGTGAATCACCAGATGTCCTCAGTTTTTCCAGAGGGGAGTTGAAAAGAGGTTCTCCCACAAAAGGGGTCACCTCCCACTATGGAAGCAGGCAAAGTTTCAGTTACTGTAACTGTGATGTGTTCGTTGGAGTGTGACACCTAAGCCGCTTCTGTTTCTTCCAAGAAGTCATTCCAGAAAAAGGGGCGGATCACATAGGTTAGGACCTTCCAAGACCCGTGAGGTGCGGTGAGACCCGGCGCCCGAGACGAGACGAGACGAGCGTCCGCCAGATCCGCTTCGACCTCTCCACCGGCCGCAACTTTGCACGCCTGCCGAGCGCGGCGGGTCCTGGCGCAGCGAGCGGAGACGGCTCGGATGAGACCAGCGTGTGCAAGTTGCTGTGTGACGCAGCTACCTGGGGAAAGCAGGAGCCACCGCCATGGCTGAGCATGTGCTGAGTGGATTAAGAGCCAGATGAAGGTTCAAGCCAGTAGACAACAATAACAGGATGACTGCGCTATACTGCGCTGCATGAGCCGCCCCAGCAATGTCTAGGTCCTAGGGCACGTGACGGCTTAGAAGGTGCTGTAAGCGTTTCCAGTGCTTTTTGGTTCTAACCTAGCGCGATCGGGGAGATATTTGCACATCACTGGGCACAAAGTACGTGCCAGATCCGAGTATTCAGATGTTTTCAGTGCGTAGTGGTCGGATGTTTGGCCTGAAGCAGCAGGCGTGACATGCAGGTTGTGCTTCCTGATGCTGTCTAGCGTGTTTACAGGAGCGAGTGGAGCACGTGCCTTGACTTCTTCAGACATGAGTACTGTATATACGAGTATAGTCTAGTGTAATGTTAGATAGGTTTCTTGGTGGCATTTGCGTGAGGAGTTTTAGGGGTGCAGGCACAGAGGTCAGAATTGGGAGTTTTTTGTGAGTGGATGTAATGCCGGATCTTACAGTAAGTGGTCAAACGGGTCACAAAAAGCATTTGGTAACAATCGAAGGAGGGTTTATTGAGTCAAGCCCAGAAGCATTTGGGATTGAGGAGTAGGGAGTAGGAATAGGAGTAGGTATAGGTAGCAGTAGTAGCAGCAGCAGGGGCTATAGCAGTAGCAGTAGTAGTAGTCGTCGTCGTAACAATAGTAGTAGCAGGAGGAGTAATAGGAGTAGAAGTAGGAGTTGGAGGAATAGGAGACAGAAGAGAAGTAGCAGTAGAAGTAGCAGCAGTAGCAGCAGCAGTAGCAGCAGCAGGAGCAGTAGCAGTCGTGGTGGTGGTGGTGGTGGTAGTACTAGAAAAGTAAGTTGGGATCTTTCTAGGCCTGCACGTTTACCTATTAAAATTATCAACCCCACCCCTAAACAATTTGTATGAATCACTTCCCCTGGTCTTGTGTACTATACCCCCTTGAAATTGTTGTTTGGAACAATAACATCGGCGAGTGTTAAGGATTTTGACACCACACCGGCCAAAAACATGCGATGCATGGACCCTTACTGCTCACCGAATCATGAACCAAGCAAACAAGTACCCTCCATGCAAAGAAACAAGAGGTGTTGATATATTGGTTATGCATATAATGGTTATGGTTGGTTGCTTCACCGTGACCCGCATCCCACCACTCAGCTCACGTGTGCGCTTGAGACTGTGTGCCAAGGTGCTTCAGAGCTGCCACTGGACCCCAGAGGTGCTCTCGGCGCCGCTGGCGGAGGCGGCCGGGCGAGGACACCTGGAAGTCTGTGAGGCGAGCAAGGGGAGGAGGGAAGTGCAGGGGAAGATACAAGATGACACAAGAAGAGGGCAAAATTATCATGGATGATTGGAAGATCATGGAAGATCATGGATGATTGGATTACTGTAGTGGGAAACTATGTGAACATGATGGTAGTCATGATGGTTTATCTTCTTGGTTCTGAGGTTCAGGCGTGCTTGGCATCTTCTACTAATAGCTTCTTGTTACTACTAGTAAGGCACTTGTTACTAGAAGCGATGCACTTGTTACCAATAGCTTCTTGTTACTACTAGAATATAGTATAGTTATATTTAGCCCTGCCCCAGTTCCCTACCCTCTTGCAAACTGAGAATGGGGGCAGGCCTCCAGAAAACGTCATGTACTGAAAGGGGACAGTGGGGCCAACACTTGTAGGTGAAAGTAGTCTACTGTATAGCCTCGCCGGCATCCGTCATGTGCCTAACAGCTTGGAGTGACTTGGAACCGAGGCTTGACTTGTCAGGCTGGTGGCCTCTGGCAGTGCCAAATAGCTCAGATTATATCAGATTAAGTGACAAGCTAGCTGGTTCCCAGTAGGGAGCTAAGGAGCCGGCAGTGTCCATAATATTCCCATTGAACCAGGAGCCGTTCGGAGCTGCAGAGAGTCCCCCAACCCCTCACATCCCCTAGTAAGATTAGTTGATAGGTCATACTGCACCGAAGAGACCTATAGACGGCTGAAACTCAGTCAGCTGAAGAGACGCCGTTAGACACCGCTGAAATGTTGCAGTCAGGCGCTTCTGAAGGCCCGAGCAGATCCGGTGGGCCGAGGGCCCAAGGGTGTGACCGCCCTACACCGTGCGGCTGGAGAAGGGCACGAGGAGGCTGGAAGTGAAACGGAAAGGCCCACAGGAAAGTGCAAGGCTGGAAGCAAGGGAGGGGAGCGTCTGAGCCTTCAGCATTATTTCATTCCATCATTTTCCACCTCTCTTCTTCAGCATGGTTTGCGTTACATGTTAAAGTCATTGAGCAGCAACATCGCACATTTGAGATCTGCACAGCCCGGGGAGTTGGGAAA